TTCTGTCGTCAAATTGACTACTCTAACAATGGCTTTTGAAAATCTTAAAGGTAATAACTTAGCATAAGCGGAGAATTATAACACTTTGCTGTAGACAATGGCGAATGATGAGCCCTCCACCCTAGGTCTTCCTCTGAATAGCACGACTAGAGAGGGAACAAGTTAGAAATGCTCAGGAGACAGCTTTGGAGAATATCGTTGATGAAATAACTAGCAAAGTTGTTAGCTAACGGCAGCAAACAGTACTTGACTCCCTAAGTTGACGCTTCAGATGAGTAAGAAACCCATCCTACACTGAAAAAAGGGAGGGGATTCTGAAGTACTTGATTTTACATCAAGATCACCTGATAAAGAATCAAGGAAAGTGGCCCAGGAGAACATATTTGAGACACATCGCTAGCCTAGTTGAACTTTTCTCCATAAGAGGATGATAAAAGTATCATAAATTTTGACAGCATTTAAGACTTCGATTGAAGAGACCTTCTGGCCCCTTTCCATTCCATGGAAGTTCAATAAAATGCTTCGGTGTTGTTCGGATGTTCAACTTTTCTGAAATTCTTGTTTCACTGCAAAGGCATTTCTCCCCCGCTTTGGAATGTGAACTCGGTGTAGCTTTGTTCCACTGTTTATAACTGAAAGAGTCAAAATTACCCTCAACAAGTCGATTGCTCCCTTTCTCGCCTCACTTATACATGTCCAGACTCAATCGGTTTGTAAGATCAGCCATTGGCAGCGTGGCCACACTATTTCCGGTGAGAAGGGCAATGTCGTAGGTAGCATTTGAGTCTAGCATGCGGTTGCCAGCAAGCTTTGCAAGGGCGGGTTCGTCTGTTCCGGTGGTAAGTAGAGATCCTGCGGAGAGGAATGTTCAATGGCTGTTCCTTGAGTGGCCCGGTGTGGGCAAAGGCCATGGAGTGTAATGAATAGAAGCCTTCAAGTTTAGCAGGCAGTTGCCAGAAAGCTTTGCACGAGCTGGTTCGTCTTTTCCTATGTTAAGGAGAGATCCGGCGGCGAGGAATGTTCACTGGGTGTTCCTTTAGCGTCCCAGCGGGCAAAGGCCATGGAGTGGAATGCATAGAGGCCTTGCGATTCATGCCTATGCCAAGCATGCATTAGATCTCTTTGAGAAGAAGCAGAGATTTGGAGTTGTTTCAGATTCACTTACCATCACTGCTGTACTGATTGCTTGCAGCCATGGAGGAATGGTCGAGCAGGGAAGAACAGTACTTTCTGCCATGAGCATAGTGCACACCATCTAGTATTATGGTTGATTGTAGCCTATTGGGAAGAGCAAGGAGGCTGGATGAAGCCTTGGCTTTGATCAGGAGGAGCAGACTAAAGCCAGATGTAGTTATCTGGGGCGAAATTGTTACAAAGGAAATACTCAAATTGGATCCCAGCAATGCTGGAGTTCATGTGGTTTTGTCCAATATGCATGCCAAATCTGGGAAATGGGATTTTTGTGTAGGAGATCAGGAACTTCATAAAGAAACAGATACATAAGCCCGATTGAAGTCTCGTTGTCTATCTAAATGATCTACTTTGTCTTCATCTTAATGAAGATTGGTGAATGTTTATGTTAATTTACATGTTGCTTATATCATAACTTCGTTTCTCCATATAAAAGTGCCCATATGATGTTTTCCTGTCAGATGCATAACAAGTCAGCTCCATTCCAATATACCCAGAGCAAAGAATCAATTAATATTAGCAGCTATAGTTTTCTGAAATGTGATCTAAAATCAAGCAGGAGTGCTAAATGCCAAGGTCGCTGCAGGCAGGCAACATTCTTGAAAAGAAGGAAGTACAGTAAATTCTGACTCAGCGAAAATCTTTCACGAGGTCTGCAACTATCTTGATCTTCTTCCATAACACATTTGTACTCGTGCTTACCAGTAGGGGCTACTATTGTTAATTATTTATGTAAAATTTTTAAATAAAACTACTATTAAAAATGTTGTTTGTAATTTAAAAATAATAAGGATATTTTAGCCTTAGATAGTTAAAAATTTTGTTAGAAAGCACACAAAAATTTTTCAATTCAAACGGTGGTATTTATTGGCTTTAGGAACCACTACATTATATGACTGCTTTTTCTGAAGTTACTTTTAAGAGAATTTCTTTGAAAGGAGATGCTCACCCAAACAAAGCCAAAGTCCTTAAAATCTTCACAAAAAACTCTTGTGGACTAAGCATGATGACACTTTAAGGAGCCTCTTCTAGGTTGTATGACTCATCATCAGATAGAGTAGAAGCAACAACTCAAAAGTGAAAGCGACAATAGCATCTAACAGAGATGGTTGGTCGGTATTCTTAAGGGGATTAAGAAAGAGATGTGGCTGGAGTAAAACGCTCAAAGATCCCCAATCAAACAGTAGTACCTAAAAGAGAGTTGTTGGTGTTCTTAAGGGGGGATTAAGATATGTGGCTAGAGAAAAATGCTCAAAGATCGCCCCATGAATGTGATGGAACTATTTAATGGTGATATCCAATGCGATGATCATACTGCAAGGACTTTTGTTTGAGATACTGAATGACCTAGTAATTACGTCCTTGGCATATCCAAACTCGTAAAACTTTAAGGATTGTCCATAGAAAATACAAAGAAACTAAATGAATACGAATCAAGCATCAGAAAAAAAAAATGATAAAGGCTCAAAGGTTCTATTAAATTAGTTTACAGTGGACCCGGATGACCCTATACGCAAAGAAAGAACAATTCACAAGCAAGTTTAAAGAGAGATATAGGAGATAA